TCATCATTGGAGTTGTTCCAAGCGTGTGATTCCAATTAGCACTCTTAATAAAAGAGTGATTACAGTTGCAAATAGAGTACATTGCTTATTTATAGTCCGTTTGGGAATATCGCAGTTAGCGTCGTTAGAATCTTAGATAAAATTTTAATAATATAGGTTAACTTTGAAAATGCCAAGACTTCCCGTAAATAATTTTTTCAAAATGCTAATATTGATCTTTAACGATATTTTAAAGAGACCCTAAATTTGAGGGCCTGGGTGGTTGAACAACTAGGCTATCACAAAGGTTAATATGACTAACAACTTAGGACATCATTGTCAAGCCCAATCCCATGAATTCCCATGACAGCCCATTTACCTAAGTCACATAGATACAAAGTGTGACTCTAAAAAATAGTGACTACTCCGTATGTCCAATGCATGGTCCCATCTTGGCATCTCATTTAATAGCTTTTAATTTATTCATAACACATTCGATAATATTTACATTAATATTAATGTATAAATAATAAGGAGTAATTCTAGTTTGAAGGCCACACATCAATTCAATATGTTTTATAGCATCAAAGCAAACAAAGCATTAAATGTTTAAGTGGGGCTAGGCCCATTTTGTAATTCATCTCTAATGTTAATTATTAAGAGTCCCATAAGCTGATTAGGATGAGAGTGAAATTTAAAGTGAAATTTGCACTAAATAAGACTAAAACATAATGACTTTCCTAATGTAGGACTTAAACTTTTTTATTCCTAAATAGGACTTAATAATGACCTAGTGGAAAGAATAATGTCTTGTAATCATGAACATTTAGTTGAATAATGACTACTTGATAATGACCAAAGGTCCTAGATTGGGAAATAAAAACATATTGTGCTATATTGAGAAAATCATTATGTTTTAGTCCTATTTAGGTAAATTTCTCAAATTTAAAATATGTATGCATTGGACAACCTCTTAAAGTGGGTATTATAAGGTACTCCATAATTAGTAAGACTAGTTACAGAGAGCGTCTGACATCTATAAGGTATTTATTGTGACTTTTTAATGATAAAATTTTAATTCCGTATTTATGTTTTATTGTGAGTTAATAATTTGTTTGAAAATTTAAGTTTATATTTTAATATCAGATTTAGCCGAGAGTTATTCCGAATGAATCATATTTAGACCAAATTCCTCTGACCATATATTTCCACTATAATTCAAACCCTTTCTTTTATAATGTGAACTCCAATACTAAAATTTACATTGAAAATTCAAAAGAGCATACAAACTATTAAACAAACAATATTACGGATGAGACGTAGTGGGGGCCAGAAAGGTTTAGAAGGGGCTGAAAATAACATGAACTATTAATTTTACAAACAAAATAATATAATTGTTTAAAGACAAAAGTTAAATATTATCGTAAAGGTAACATACAAAGAAGCATTAAATGTGATTGATATAAATGCTTTAAAAAATTACTACCTTGCTATCTCAAAAAAATTCCTAGTTTATTTTTATATTTTGAGTATCATTATTTTAAAACAATGTTGCCATTAAAAAATTTAATATAGAAATCGAGCTAATTACACAGTTTAATTAATATTTTTAAATTCTTAAAAAAAATAGAATTGCCCCAAGTAAAAAAAGTACCAAACAATAAATATTTAATGTTAAATAAGAAAATAAAAATGTTAATTATTTGAATTTACAAGAATATAATAATATAATTTGAATCTAAAGAATTTAAAAGTAAAATATTTAAGGTTACAAGTAGGGTTGTAAACGAACCGAATCGAATCGAAAATTCATGAAAAATATTCATATTCGTTAAGATGGAGTGATATTCGAATTCGAATTCAGTTAGAATATTTTTTAAGATTTGTATTCGGTTCGTTTAATATATTAAACATATTCGGTTCGTTTAAATATTCGATTCGTTTAAAAATATTCAGTTCATTTAGATTTTAAAATATTTTATAACCATTTGATATATATATATATATATATATGAGATTGACTCCAGCGAGATGATATGCTTCGGTGAGATGATACAAAGCTCACCATTGCCCACTACAAAGTTCACCAATGGACAATGCAAAGCTCACCTAGGAATAAAATAAAGCTCACCACTTTGAACACCAAAAATCACTTTTTTAAAAAATTTTAAAAATTAAAAAGTTAATAAAAAATAAAATGGCAACACCGGTCAACCACTAGTCAGCGGCGGCGGAGCAGTGGCGGATTCCGGCGACCGACGGCGGCACCGGTGACTAGCAGAGGTGGATTCCGGCTACCGGCGACTGGCAAAGGTGGATTCCGGCGATCGGCGGCGGCACCGGTGACTGGCAGCGGTGGAGATCGGCGTTGGATTCCGGCGGCGGAGCGGAAGCATCAACAGGCGGAAGGCGGTGGCCAAAGTTCGTGGTCAATGGTCAAAGTCTAGTCAGCACCCATTTCTCTTATTTTATTTTTTCAAAAAAAATTCAATGTGTTAAAAAAATATGGTGAGCTTTGCCTTAGAGTTTGGTGAGCTTTGTAGTTGTGCTTGGTGAGCTTTGTAGTGGACAGTGGTGAGCTTTGCGTCATCTGACCGTATCATGGCATCTCACCGTAAGGTGTTATCTCACAGGAGTATATATATATATATATATATATATATATATAAAATTGTATAATTAGATTTATATTCCCAATATATTTGTCAAACTCACGAATCGAATACCCTTAGATTCATATTCGTATTCGATAAGGATTCGAATATTTATTCAGATTCGTATTCGTATTCGTATTCGGATTTGAAAAAATCGAATACGAATCACCTTAAACGAATACGAATCACGAATCGAACAAAAAATATTCGATTCATTTACAACCCTAGTTACAAGAATATGGTTTGAAAGTAAAAATTGAAGTAGAAAGTAAAATTACATGGAGTATATTTGAGTCTTTTTTCATTAATTATTTGAATGTTAGTTTGAGATGAAATTTGTTTTTTTTGTTGGTGTGATTTCACATTGTTTTTAAAAAAAAACATGAATGCTGTCCCCAAACCTCCGTATTATTCTTGTTCCATGTCAATCCGATTTTTGGATCCGTTATTGGATGGCGTATAAGCAATTAAAATGAGATGCTTCATCAAATTTTAACAATGTGTTTAAAGAATAACTTCTAAAAAAATAAATAAAAGTACTTTCCAATGAAAGTAATATGATTTTACTTTTATACGGCAATTTTAATTTATTGTATATTTTTAATTTTAATTAAGCAAATACATTTCAATAAATTTAAAAAGAAATAATGAAAAAAGGAGCATAGTTGTAACTTCTATATGCTATTCTCCATGCCCCGGATTTGGGTTGCTATAAATGAGAAAGCTCAACAATGAGCATCTTTAATGGAAAGATTATGTTGAGTTGCTTAACTTTAAAAAGCTGACGTGGAGCATAAGTGGAGTATTGGTTGCTAGACTCATCAAAGAAATTGTTTAAGGAAGTAACTATTCATTATCTAATAACTTGCCTAAGAGCATCCACACTGGTAGCACCTCTCATTATATGCTTAAATGTGGGCTCTACTTTAAAAATATTATTACAGAATCTCTTTAAACATCTAAATCTTTTAATGGTGACATCTCGTTGAGATGCATTGGGTGAATCCTACTCACATACAGATAAAATTTGTATATTATTATTTTTAATTATAAATTTTTATATTATATATACGAGTGTTAAATATGGAGTAATAAATTACTAATTAAACTGATTATTTTTTAAAATTATATAAATAATTAAAAATATTATTCATGACTTTTTTTATTGTTAAAAAATTTTGAATAAAAAAATAAAGACACGGTGGTATTACTAAAAACAAAATAGGGTTTCATATTTTTTATGGAGTATTTATTTATTTAATTTTTTTGTGCATATCATACTCCATCAAATGAAACACTTTAAAGAGAATTTTCATGGTATCACTACAAGTTAAAAAATGAAAAGAAAAAAACATGCGAAAATGGTTTGTTTAAAAAAATGGTAAAGATTTTTTCTGGAAAAAAAGAGACACAATAATGGTCTAAAATTGTAGTACCACTACACGTTAACAAAAATAAAAAGAAAAAACATTGAAAAAAGAGTGTATTATTAAAAAAGACTTATTTAAAAAAATAAAATAAAAAAGAAAGAATGCACACATGATTTTGAATGCTAGCACCTGGTGCTCTCTTGAGCATCTCTCACTATCTTTCTTCTTTGAACATCTACTCTAAGCATCTATCTCCAATAGTGGCACCTATAAACATCCTGTTCTCTCTCCTTTGAGCATCCCCTTTGGGCATCCCATTGGAGATGGCCTAAGAGCATCTTTAATTGGGGTTGCTTGCAGAGAGTTCTTAGCTAAGATACAATTGCTTTACTAAGCAATTATGTTAAAAAAAATGAAATAACTGGTGCTCCACATAAAATTTACATGAACTCATTTAGTCGAAACAACTCGAGCATCTAGAACTAAAAATGCTTTAACAACTCCCACTAAAATTGATCTAAGAAGCATTATAGATTTATAGGGGAAGAGGTCAACAATTACTCCATATTTGCCTAAATAATACTCGTAATGCTTAGCTGTAGTCATTATAGTGAACGGTATGAAGCAAGTGAATGCTATTCACAAACGCTAACGCTGCCTTAGATAACCTTTTCAAAATGCTAACGCTAATCTTTAACGCTATTCTCAAACATGCTCTATATTTTAAGATCAATTTATATTACAACTCTGGTATTAATTTAAGCTAATTACTTAAAAATAATAGTTACAGTGAGTTATAAATTGGTGTATTTTATACTTTCACTTGTAGTAAAAGTATATAAAATTAGTTGAATATGATATGAGATGATGAGACAACAAAAAAGTAGTGACTGTGGTGTGTCGTCTTAATTAAACTTTTAAATTACACAAAAAGCACTAGAAGTGTAATAGTCAGGGATTTAAACAGTTCAATTACTGGGTTAAAGCCGTCTTACAACCCAAATTCCTTCTACATAAGATTCAGCAGCGAGGCATCGAAGCACTGAAGCGGCCAAGGCGGTAAACGAAGTAACAAAGCCGACGAAGAAGAAGGGTTTTCTCCGAGCAGCGCTCGGTTCTGTCCTCGCCACCGGCCGAAGGTACCGTTATCCCGCCCACAGTCACTAGTCATTACTTCAATTTCCGAGCATCGCTATATATCGGCGTAGTAAAACCCCATCTCGAGCATTGAATCCATCGATCTTCGCTTTTGTTTTGGAATACGGCTGTTTATTACGATTTTTGTTCGGTAAATCTGTAGATATTTGAACGATTAGGGTTCTACCATTTAGAACTAACTTTTTGGTGTTGCTTAGATGGATCGGTACCAGAGGGTGGAGAAGCCAAGGGCGGAGACTCCCATTGCTGAGAACGAGATTCGGATTACCAGTCAGGGAAGGATGCGAAACTATATCACTTACGCCATGACTTTACTTCAGGTATTACGCTTGTTTTTTTTTGGCAGACGTTTGTGTGGATTTTTGTAGCACTTCTACTTGGTTGCAGTAGTGTAGCATATGTTTTTGTATGATGTCGTTGAAATGGTGTTTATGATTCCACTTTCAATGGCAGAGTGAAAACCTCATAACCCTAATCCTTTTGTAAAGGATTCACGTATTCTTAGTAATTATTCTATCTAGTGAGCATGTATCTGTGAGTTTATAGAAACAAGTTGACAAACAACACACTCTCTCTAACTCCCTACATACTTATTAGCGGAGTATGCAGGAGTTCTTCTTGAGACTTGTTTTCCATAATTGATTTAATTCGTGTTCTTTGCCCACATGGTAGGAAAAAGAAGCAGAACAAATTGTGTTCAAAGCAATGGGCAGGGCAATCAACAAAGCAGTAACAATTGTGGAGCTCATTAAGGTTCTCTACTTTATTTTTCTTACACATTTGAGATTTCTTCTATCTTAGTTTTCTCATCACGGTTAATATGGGTGTTACAGAGAAGAATTGTTGGTCTTCACCAGATTACTTCCATTACATCCGCTGACGTAATTGATACATATGAGCCATTGGAGGAAGGCCTCCTTCCGTAAGAGCATATCAAAATCATTTTCAAACACTGTTGGACATCAAAAAAGTTTTGGACATTGCTGATTTTTTACTATGTTGGTTTTTCCTGCAGCCTGGAGAACACTAGGCACGTTTCAATGATTACAGTTACACTCTCAAAGAAGGAGTTGAACACCAAAAATGTTGGGTGAGTTATTTTTAGTTTCATTTAGGAGCTATTGGGATTTGTTACCAAAATAACTAATTCTAGAGAATCAAGCAGTAGGTATATACTTATGGAAATCAGATTTTGGAAGCACAGTTCACAATTGGTTCTTTTTTAAATCTAAACAAATCCAACAGTCTATTGAGAATTTACGGAAGCAACCAAAAGAAACCTAGCCAACTCGCTCCTTAATATACAACTTGATTTCTTCTTGCACTATTACTTCATTTAAAATAGCAACACTAAGTATAAAAGCTTTCAAGAAATTAAAGTTTAAAACTTATCAGGTGACATTCATATTTTCCTGCTATGAAATGTTTTTTCTTTCAATATCTTTTAGGTATCAGATGCCTATTCCTAAGGAACAGGTTAAGGTGGTTATGGAGACGTATTATGAAGGTGCTGTTAATATGCTTTGGACCTAGGTATACTATTCATTACACCTCTAGTTGGAATGATACCTACTTTGCTTTGTTTTTTCTTAAGAGAGATCTCCAACTGGTCGTGGAAGAGGCCGTCATGGTGGTAGAGGAAGAGGCGGGCCTAGAGGTTTATCGGGTATGATATTTAAATTTTATGTACTCTCTCCATGCTTATTTAAACTTCCAACTTCCTTTTTATGTCCGTCCTCAAATAATCTCCCATTTCCTTTTTAGGAAAGGAATTCGTGGTTTATGACATCTCTCTCTCTCTCTCTCTCTCTCTCTCTCTCTCCCTCACTTTGTTTGAAACAAATGTCAACAACACACTTTGTATTTCATCACTTTCGTTAAACCGGACATTAGAATAGGAACATAGGGAGAAATAAATAACACATAAAGACCACAATTCAAAGTCGAGATTCATTACATTTTATCTACTTTGAGTCCTTGATCCAATTATTCAATGAGTGCTTGTTTATGCGAGAGTAGTTTCAAAGGTTAGAACCTGATCATTATGTGGTTTGGAGTGCCTTGATCATCACCTGGTGGTTGCCTTATATAATCTCTCTATTTAACATTATGTGGTTTTCAAATTGTTTAACTGCATGAATGTTTTTATAAAATCAGGTATTGTTCTTTAGGTATAAGACTTTTTTGTGAGATTCCAGGGTATTTACTGAGTTTCTAAATTTGTGTGTAAGATCCTTAAATTAAAGTGAATATCAAATGCAGGGAGTATTTGTTCATCACTTTTACTCTTAAATGATATTTTACTTTTACCTCCAGGAAATGATTATGCAGAAGCTGGGTATGACGGTGGAGGATACGATAGAAATCAGAACTACATCAGGGGCAGTACTCGGGGAAGAAGTCAAAATTTTCGTGGGAGTGGAAAGGGTTACGAGGGTCCCCAATATGATACACAACAAGATAGTGGCTATGAGGCACCTGCTCAGGGTAGGGGTAGGGGTCGTGATTTTCATGGTCGTGGAAGAGGAGTGTACAATAATAAGCAGTTTCATGCACAACAAGATGATGGATACAATAATGAGGCATCTTATCGGAGTCGTGGCAGAGGGCGTAATTTCCGTGATCATGGTAGAGGAGGCTACAATGGTCCACAGCAAGACGACATTGTTGATTATGAGGTGCCTTATCAGAATCATGGTAGAGGTCGTAATTTCCGTGAACATGGCAGAGGTTACAATGGTCCACATCAAGTAGGTGGCGCCGATCATGAGATACCTTTTCATAATCGTGGAAGGGGTCGCAATTTCCGTGAACATGGCAGAGGAGGTTACAATGGTCCCCAGCAAGATGGCGGTACTGATTATGAGGCACCTTATGGGGCACCTTCTCAGGGTCATGGCTTCCATGGACGTGGTGGTAGAGGAGGTTATAATGGTCCACCTCAAGGTGGTGGCTATGATTATGATGCACCTTCTTATGGTCAAGGTGTTGGCCGTGATTTCCATGGACGTGGTAATTTCCGTGGGCGTGGAAGAGGAGGCTATAATGGTCCACAATATTATGATACACAGCGAGACGGGGACTACAACTATGAGCCTCATCGGGGTCGAGGTACTGCATTTCGTACATTAGATACTGTTTCTTTCTCTTGCAATGTATCCTTTGAGATGCTGCGTACTTGATTGATATACGATTTTTATACCACCTCTTATGCCGACCCCCTTATGGATTTTAGATTTGAGGTATTTTCCTTTTATGTTGCGACATTATTTCACTTTTGTTGCTTCCTCCAATCCAAAAAAGAACTGTCAAGGCACATCCCTCTAATTTTGGCACAAGTCAACTCTTAAAACTAATAAAACCCAACACATGATCACACTTTTTGCTGCAACTAAATTTAACATGAATGTGTCTATTGTTATTTTGGCAAATGGCATGAAATGTAGCCCCTGAGTTGTATGAAATTGTTCTGACTCTTTTTATTGGGACAAAAACATTTGAAAGTGACTTCTTTTCTTCTTAGTTCAGGGGCGTAGAAAATCTATCCTTGGTTTGGTACTATATGCTCTTTCACGTGGTATTTTGTACATTGCAACTTCTAAATTCTAATGCTATCTTCCAGAGTCGTGCAATGATTTTTAAATTGTGCAACACTAAAGAGCAAATAGTGTCAATATTGCATTATAGACATTTTTTATGTCCAAGGTATCAATGCTGCCATCAAGTTTATCTACTCCCCCCCGCCCAAAATAGTGTCGATAACTTTTGTTTATTCACATGCTTTAATTGATCATTTGATAATATATAATATTTTTTGTCACCTTTTATTTTGTTAAACTTTTGATGTAGTTTTTAAATATGTAAATTGTATGTAATATTTTTGTATTTCTGTACCAATTTATGAATAAAAGAAATTTAAAAGTCACAGGGTTTTGCACATTGTTTTGAGAGTGCAATCCATTTAGGGACATAGGGAGTACTTTTTATAGTGACTATTAGGTATGCAGGCATCTCATATCTGACTTTTTTGCTTGGATTTTTTTATGTTTGTGCGATTATGTATTTTTAATTCAGTAAATTCAAAACAATCTTTGGAGTGAAAAGTCATCTCCAAGAAGAGTGGTAAAGCATCATTTATTTTGGACTGTAAGCATTGGGATAATGGAGCGGGCATGAAGAAACTGGAAGAAGACAATAAATAAAGTCCGGATCATAGTTGTGATTTGCCATTTTACTTGAGTACAGTGCATATACCTATTAAAATGAAACTGGATTTTCATTTTTTTCTCATTACTTCTGCAATTAAATCTCTCATGGGATAATATGGATACATACTAATATAGAACTTGTATATTTTCACATATGATGAATTAATTGTTCATCTAGGCCGTGCTCATGCGAGGGGAGGCCGTGGTGGTGGTCGTTCATGGTAGATGTGATGGGGCCTCTGGAGATGCTTAGTTTGTCAAGTATTGGAAAATGATTGCAGTAACTTTGTTATCTAAGGGATTGTTTCATTTCTCTATTTTTCTGGATTGGTTTATGTTAACTGGAGGATTGAAGTGTAGACTAATCTTGGAAGGGACCACGCCTGCGATTTTGCGGTGAGTCTTTTTTTGCTTTCAATTTTATGCGAGCTTTGTCGTTTATTCGTTGTTTGCCTAGGAGTTTTTTATGTGGAGGGGTGATTACTTACTCTAGCATGCATATGATTAAATTTCATGTGCTTTGTCAAGGTTAGAGTTGTGCTATCATGTCTTAATGCTTGTGAATTTCCACAAATACCCCTAAAACGTTTTCCCAAAATCTCTCTCTGCATTGGCATTATAAATTGTTTTACTTGAAAATTAAGGAAGACCTGCAAAGGTGATCTGGTTTTTAGAGCTTAGAAGTTACTCCCTCTGTTGTAATATAACAACTGTCAAATATGTAACAGACCAATGTCAGCAAAACATTGTAAAATGAGTAAATTCTTTTCTTTTTTGTTTCTTTTTGTTTGCTACTTTTAGTGCCTAGGGATAAATATGATATCATCTTTAAAACCATGATTTTTTTAGGGACACACATCATTCTAATGATGTATATCTGAATTATCTGAAACAAAGAGTTATGATGCTTTAAAGTTTGTTTTCTAAATTTGATAACATAACCAAACATGCTTGTATTTCTGTAAATTGAAAAATTATAGAAAAACATGCAATGCTTCTCACACACATGAGAATTATATAAATAATATAAAATTTACTATAAGACACTTTAAAAGAACAAGTTTTTAGGAAAAAACAAGATATAAGTAAACATTTTATTGTGGAATTTGGCGGCTGAATGAAGTTGAGCTCAACTATGTCATTAGTTACTTGAAGAACTGGGGGTGATACTTGGGCAGGAGCTGCTTAACAAGTATCCTGTAAACTTTTTCTGTGGGATGGAAACTGTCCCAAAACAAATACTTTTCGTGATCTTCACATGTCGGTAATAATTGGTTGCACAATATTGCAACTTCTAAATTTCCAGTCCCACAACACCCTTTATCAGCTACCTCCAACCCTGTTCATATAGGCCAATCACGTTATTACTCAAAAATTTTAAGTTTTATTTATTTATTTTTGGGTGAGATAGAATTATGAGTAAACAATGTAGTACTCTACTAGTATACATGTAGTAAGTAGGATCAGAGTGAATTATGTACCATATTGGGCAGGGTTTTGGATGACTTGAAGAAGAGGGTTGTAGAGGTCTAGTAAGACCAGCGTGGCATCAGGTAATGTGATCGATAGGGATTCAATCTCAGCTTGGAACTTCGAATTGGCCAACTTTGACGCTTCGTTGTATTTCTCTGCACAACCCACACCGCCACCTGCCAAAGTCCTCTCCGCTGGCATGCACCCTACCGGCACCTGGCTGAAAACCCCAATCCTTCTTGCTCCCATTCCATACAATTCCTAACAAACACTTAATATTTATTCAATTCCTAACAAACAATATATATATATAATGGAGTATGTTATGATTAGGTTACTTTGTTTTATACGTACTCGGATGAAACTGGAAGCCTTGCCGACCATAAGATCCGTGTAGGAATTAACGTCGTATTGTATCCGACGAGCTCCAACTGTGAAGTAGGTGTTGGCAATGTCATTACTGCCGGCGACCACCAAGAAGAGGCTGTTGTCTGTTATGAACTTTGTCTCATTTTCTCCATATGCTGCTTTGAGCTTTCCCAGGTACTCTTTGAAGTAGTCTAATTGTGCCGACATCGGGACAACTGACTGGATTGTTTTTATACACAAGTTCAATTAACATTATTATTTCAACCAAAACATGAACTCTTATTGAAATGACCATAAATCATATATCGATCGGACACTAGGGTAAGGGAATTATCACCATAGTTTGTGATGTTAGGGGGTCGTATCCGGTGCCTCCAGATGCAAAGCTTACTCCGGTTTTCAGATCTCCGGGCTGCAAATTCGGGTCCAAATAAGCAGGTACGAGCTCTTTGATTCCCAGTTCATCCGCTGAATTTAAATTGCGAAACGCATTAGCTTCACTAGTCTTGATTCAAAACTTTATCAATATATTGCATAAATACCTAGGCAACATACAATAAGCCTATGAAGTCTATCTTCTTCATTTACACCCACCATATAGTTTATACATACGGAGTAGAATGGTTGGTACCTACCAACTAGATCAATCGGCGTGTTGCCATTGGTGAAGCGCCCGGTAGGTTTTTTGCCCATAAAGTCTGCCCCGTAGGGTGGGAAGTTGCACTTTACCACGGTGGGGATGTAGTTGTTCATGCCTTGGTCGATGATCGAATCCCCAAACCCTATCACCGCCGGCATGACCCCACCCGCCGGTAACTTTACCCTCGTTTCGCCACATGCGGCGAGCCATAGAATAACCACAGTGTAAGTTATGATCACTTGTCTTGCCCACATGAAGCTTGAAGTGGATTTAGGAGAAAACATTTGTGTATTGTATAATATTATGTATTTATCTGCACAATTTTGTTCCCTGAACTCAAATGGATTTGCGTTGAGGGATCTAAGGGTGGGAGTTTGGGTTTATATAATCATTACTAGTCCGTTTTATCTGCAATTAATGCACATTTTAATGCTAAGGCTAGGGTGGATTTCAATGTACAAGCTGGGTGTTTGGAACGCTTAACTGTCGCGCTAATTAAAAATTATATAAGAGATTGTGATGTAAAGCTCTCAAAGATGGCATTTAATTGAAGCTTAGATGAAAGAATTTAAAACCAAGTGATTTCGTAACAAAAATGATAGCTAGGGGCCAGTCAATAGTTTGAAATGTTTCGCAATATAGTTTGAAATATAGCTTTTATAAAAACTGGCATTCGTGCCTTTTGTCAACTTATGCGTTCGTAGTCAAGAATGTTTGATTGATAAAATAAAGCAATTATATTATCATTGACTTATAAATTCTTAAATACTTTTTCTTGTTTTGACTTTTTTTATTTAAACAGTGACACTATTTTATTACAAATTAAACATAATTTAAGTAAAATAAATGATATAAAAATTTGATATATGAAAACTATATGAACTTAATTATATTGAATTTATATTGTAATAAAATATGCTATTCTCATAGATTGTGGTTAAAGTGTGTCATTGCTTGATAAAAATAATCAAAACAAGAAAATTTTTTGAGACCAGATGGAGTACATGATTTTTATTTTTTATTTCTTTGCTAATTTGAATAAAGAATAGAACGCCTTCAATTAACTAAATAAGGGCTAGTTATGGTCATCTAAAATTAAGTGCTGGAATTGCTGGTACATTACCAGCACCGTATTTATAGTTTAATACGGAGGATACATTATACATTTAATGTTTTTTATAATATTCTTATTTGGAGTGAAATTTTGCAATACAGATTTCATATTTAAAATGTAAAGAATATTTAATATAATACACATCATGAATTATACAGAATTTTTTATTTTCACGTGAAAGATAAACTATTTGAAAGTAACTAAAGAAGTACCGAGAACCACTTTGGAACCAGATTGGACCGGAAATTTAGTACCGGGTAGTGGCTACTCGGCCTACTCCACCACTATAGTGCTTCTATACAAGTCTCTCATAATGGACAAAGTGCCCGTTTGACACTCTATAGTGTATGTAACGTTTCGATGTTAATTTGTGAACTGTTTAAAACATTAATTGAAAATATTATTTTTCCCAAACGCAATTGTATTTTTCTAGGATTGTCTTCATTAAAAAGCTAAGTTAGTTTTAGGCTTATTTTTTGTTATTTTAACTTCATTCCAACTAAATTTGGACGAGAACGTAGAATTTTAAGATATAAGCCTCATTTGGCATATCGTTAGAGATTAGCGTTAGCATTTTGAAAATGCTATTCGACGGAAGTAGCATTTAGCGTTAACGTTTTCAGAATTAATCTACACCATTAAAGAGTAAATTTCATAATTGTTCCTTTATAACAAAGAGTTTCCATATTTAGTCCTCTATTATCAAATACTCTCTCCGTCCCCCTGTATTTGTCCACATTTGACTTTTGGAACTGTTCATCTAAGTACTTTGACTCATCAAATTCTCTCAATGTGTAAGCCTAAATATAGTCATGTGTGATCTTGTTTGATTTGTCTTAACATATAGATTATTAATATATATTTTTATAATTTTTTAATATACAAATTACAAGATAAAATGGATTAAAGAAGTGCATTGGATGATGTGCAAAAATAAAAGTGGACAAATACAGGGGGACGGAGGGAGTATTACCCCCGTAGTCCTTTTTTTGAGGATACCTTTCCACAAATGGTCCTTTTTTGATCTTCTGTCATGGTGTTAATTTAAAGGCTAAAAATATAATTTGACATCAACATTATGTCTAGTGACGTGTATTGTTTTTGGTTAACGGATAACACAAAAGTAATGACTATGATTGTAGGCTAGGATTCCGACGAAAGACCACATTTGTAGACTATGATTGTATTAGAAAAACGACTGTAATTCACAAACGACGCAAACAGAACAGCCTTTGGAATTGTGTATGACAAAAAAGATATATTATCATTGTGAAATTATACATTTAGCCCTCAAATTAACGCTAAAATGATAGAAGATCAAAAAGGATTATTTGTGGAAAGATACCCATAAAAGAAGAGACACTGAGGTATAATATTTAATAATAGAGGACTAAATAGGGAAACTAATCTTTTATAAAGGACCAATTATAGAATTATTCTTAAAATTTTATCTAAAACGCTAACTTTAATAAAAAATGTCATTTCCAAATAAGGCCATTGTAATATTTTATTAGGATAAAAAATAAATTAAAATTGGGAAAGATTACCATTACTAAATTGGTCATACAATAATGTTTGAATTTCGTCATCTTGCATCTCTTACTTCACCTTAAACTCAAATGAATGTTATATGCACCATTTTCTTCAATAATTTACACCTCTCATGCTTCTTGTCAACTCATAAGTATTCTGTAGTACGGACTACGGAGGATATTATGGTTTGAAGTCTAATGGCAAATATTATCGGTCCAAAAGGTGGAATCCCCAACCCCTTGCCCGACAGGAATTGTGGAGGAAGTAAATCATGGTGACTCAGTCGGCCAAGAACGCTAGACCCGTACCCACCGCGCACAAGGAGTCTCTTTATCCTTTATGGGATTTTTGGATAGCTCCCACACTGCCGCTTGCGGGACTCGATCCCTGGTCATCGGTCCAAGATTTCACGCTCTTGACCAACTGAGCTGCCCATGCGGGCTAATGGCAAACATTATGAAATGCATACAAAGAGTATATACTCTTTCTTTGACCTTTTAAGTACCTGGAGTAATTATATAATTATGAATCTTTGATGGATTTAAAAAATACATAAATGTTTATATTTAGGCATATTTATATTTTCACACTTTAAGAAAATTATAATGGTCAATTTAAAAGGAAAAAGGTAGTGTTCGAGAATTATAATGGTCTTTTGATGGATTTAAAAAATAAATAAATGTTTATATTTAGGCATATTTATATTTTCATACTTTAAGAAAATTATAATGGTCAAATTAAAAGGAATAAGGTAGTGTTTGAGAATTATTATTATTTTAATTTAAATCTTGTATTTCAATTTCAAAATTTAAAATTTTAAATTTCAAATGAATCTACAATTGAACATTGTAATAAATTAGATGAATTTACCTCAGATCTAAATTCAAACATTTATGACTTCTCAAACATGAAATTTTTGAAGCAAATCTAGATTTGAAATCCAAATTCTAATTGCCAAACATGCCAAAATAGTACTCCATAGTGGAGTACTCCGTATTTAGGAATTTGGTGCAAGAAAGTTGAACAAAAAAATTAGATGTTCTTTTTTCAATATTTAGAAATAGTTTAATTTATAATTGTAACCTGGAACTCATATATAATTCCACGTTTACCAAATCATTTAGCATTGAAATATTCAACTTGCTAGAGTTTTAAAAACAAACAAACAAATCGGCAAACGTCTTTATATTGATATTTCTCTATACAATTAATCTTCTGTAGACTTTAATCTAATATTAATAAATACTTCAAACCCACCTCATAATGAAATTGATGGCTTCAATTAAAACTCTTTTTGCACAAACATTAATATGTACTTCAATGTTCTCAAACTAAATTGCATGCTTACTACTTACATGGTCAAACGTTATAGTATTCACTTTTATCCTTCATTTTTGCAACTTAATTGATAAAATTATACAGTATTGTCACTTCTTGTTTTGTAAAACTTTTGATGTAATTTTTTAATATCTAAATTTTATTTTTTATTACACCCAATTTCTCAAATAAACTGTATTGAAAATAATTTTAGCCAAACATCGTAAGTTGAAATGTGTGATTTAAACCAAAACATGGGATTTAAAGAAATCACCCTAAATAAAAGTATAACATAGGGAAAGTACCAAAAGAAGTGTTTCATATTTTTATGAAGTATTTCCTAAATAGAAGTTCGCATTGTGATACTGTCACACTATACAACCGATGCTTTTGATCTTTTGCATCGGCTGTTTGAATAAGCGATGCAATTGAGGCAGTCAACTTATTTTTTTATTTATTACTTATTCTTATTAGCTTTAAATATAATTACAATCAGAAATAGCTTTAAGTATAAGTAGAATCAGATTAGAAATAACTTTAAATATAACTATAATCAAATTATATTAGATCAGATCAGAACATATTCTAATTATATCAGACCATATCAGATTGAACGTGACCTCGACTTGCCTGTTTTTGTAGTAGTGAGTAGTGACTTCTTTTATTTTTCTTGCGATTTAAACATCCGAAAATGAAATAATTCAAAAAAACAAAATAGGGAATAAAGGTAGTTGTCAAATTTGTCTTGATGACACTGGAACGAAGCCATGGCCCAGCCTCCAAATTCAGAAGCCAATCAAGCTATCGGCATTAAGCTCCATCTTCTGATGGATATCAGGCCTGGCATTGGGCCGGGAGGCTCAAAGAGTTCCATTACGACGGCCCATGAAAAGTAAGAGTGCTTGGCGCTCATAGTTAAAGTAAAGTGGGCTGCGTAGCCCGGTCAGGTAACGAGCCTACCCGAGCTCAATATCAAACCACACGATACGAGGAGCGCGATCCCATTTATTGTGGGTGATTGACGACTGATTCCTCGCACATAATTGATGCACGATCAGCTATTTAGCCCAAGATTGCTGCGCAAGAATTAAATACCATGTATACAGAAATGTTAAAACTATAAATAGGAGGCGTCTACTCCACTGTAAGGCATGCTAAATCAAGCTAATACAAGCATACAAGAGCTATATTCCACTCTAAATTGTTCTTATTCGCATTCTAGTTCTTCGTATCGCCATAATTATTGAGCTAAATCCCATCATCTTCAATATGTAAAGTAATACTCACCAAGGTTATATTAATATTAGCTCTCGTACTGAACTAATTTTAATTCTGAATTACTTTTAATTTGTAGATTTAATTATTCGTAATTCGTGCAGTGAAGG